TATTTTTGAGAGATACAAACAGACACAGACACCTGGATAAATTCCCTCCCTAAGACATAGGTAACAGAGGCAGCATTCCTAGAAATACTAGTCAGTAAGTACCCTGTTATTCCCTGTGATCACACTTCAGTCCCTACCCATAGGCCACCAATAAACTTCATGGATAGACAAGTGCAGAGTGACAAAAACACATAGCAATAACAGTCTGCTTGCTATGAAAGGCTCATGGAGATTAGCTGAGTTTTCTTAAGCACCAGAAGAGGTTTTTTTTTTTTTTTTTTTTTAAATACTTTGAGGAAGAACAAAACTATATTAGTTATCCAGCTACAGCTGATGAATTAAACCATCATGGCATGTTTGCAGAAAAGGTTAATATTTGCTTTAGCACATTACACTGACACCTTCTTTCTCAACACAGAAACCACTTATTATTCCAACAGCAATCTCTCACTCTATGGCAAATGTTTCATCATTTCTATTCTTTTGGGGAAGCCAGATCCACAACTCAAAACTGTCTCCAGCAAGTTCAATTAACAGACTGCTTCATCCTACATGCACAGAAGTTAAATCACTAGAAAACAGGATGTAGTTTAACATCTTCAGCATATTATTTTGTGGCTTTGTGCATATTAAAGTATACCTTCTATTATATACTGATTTTGCATTATTAAGGGCTTTGCAAATAAATACAGGGATGCCTTCACAACAGTCACTTCCTAAATCCCCAGTGAGAAGACCAGAGACACTGCTGGCCCCAAAGGTGGGTCTTAGAAGATGCACCATTCTCCCCTACCATCACCTTTTCACAGAGAAAAACCCTGGTATCCCTGCTGAAGGGTTAAACTCTCATTTCCTTCTCTCATTGTCTGGCCCAAGACACCCCCACTCCACCCAAGTTGCTCAGTTTTGCATTTGATTTTGTACATGTTCAAACTCCACTGTTCATTTTCACATCAGGGCACAGAAGTTAGCAGGAGCACATAGCTCACCAACTCAGCTTCTAGCTTTACTTTCTTCAAAAACGCTCTCATTTGATCTGTGCCCATTAGAGAGAAAGGAAAACAAAAGGCTAAAGCACTGGGAAAGCAGCACTTCAACCAAACCTGACTGATTTTTTCTCTGTTTTAATGGTTTTGCCTTTAAATGAACCCTTTGATTTACCTCCTGATACAAAGTGAACCTGACTGACAGATGTGCAGTACTTAGGCACAGAGCTCACAGCACACACCAAGGACAAATGCCCAACTGATGTGTGCTGTGTCCTGTGTGAGAAACAGAAAACATATACCTGTTCCAAATAAGAGGATATCAGGCATACTGGTAAATGCAGCAAAATTAATCCAAAGTTATTTAGAAAAACATTTCCAAGCTTAAAAACAAAGATTTCCTGCAACCACTGGGCACATCCACTGCATACATTGACAATTACTTTAGTGCATATGCACAATGAACCTATGATACAAAAATGGGGGTTATGTAACCTCTTTGCTTTGCCAGTCCAGCAACACTTACAGGCTTGGAGATGTTATTTCTGCAGGTGACTTTCTGCCCAGGGTCAGGTTGGACAGAGGCACAGAGCAATCATGAGCAGCCAGCACACAGCCAGCACACAGACAGACATGGTGTGGGTGTTGCACTAGCTCAGAACAGGGCCAGACCTGCCCCAGAACTGTCAGCCCCCAGCCAATCAAACAAATCTCAAATAACTGTAATTACCAGCATAAAACTACCATCTGTAGAAATTGTCTGCTTTGGCCTTTTATCCAAAGCAGATACATGAAATTTTGCAATCTCGTAGTATCTGCTGTTTCAGCAGTAAAACACTAATGGTTTTACATTATGCTTCAGCCAGAAGCTCTTTTGGATTTGTGCTTAATACAGTGAGAAATAGTAGGATTTTAGCATTTGCCAGCTTTCAGTTTTAACAGCTTTAGTTTTCTGGACTCAAGACCAGTAACACTTGTCTTTCAAAAGACAGAAGCCCAATTTAAACACTTCTCTCTTTCATGGAACTTATATCCAAACTTTTCTGGTCTACTGACTTGGAGAAGATAAGAAACTACATGGCATTTTCAGTCAACACACAGGGGGAAACTGTTAATGGGCATTTCTCTCATCTAATCTAGAAACTCTTACATACATATCCCAGTATTTCAGAACTTATTTTTGCTTTTGGTGTCATGCCCCTGGATAACGAACAGGCAAATCACTGTTACAATGAAAACTTGTCTTTCCCCTTTGAGGGTGAACTTTGGCAGCTTGCAGCACAGAACAAGGAAGCACAGGAACTTACAGACAGAATTTTAAAGAGGTTCCTTTTGTATATAATGAAATTCTGTGCACATCTGTACAGCATTTTTGAGACAGAGGTATGTTTACTCTGCCTACGCTGCACAACAGAAGCAATGGCTCTCTAGGGCAGATCCAGCCCAAGCTGGTACACTGCATGAAGAAGCAGAACTTTGCTTGTACCAAGCTGCTGCCACTATTTTTTCAGTATTTGCAGACTGATTCACTCCTTCTATAGTGGAGATGAAATTTAGGCTTCAACAACTACTGTATGTCTGTATTTCAAGCCAGCTTGTCAGTTGAACAAGTAAGGGCATTTTCAGTCATCAATTCCACAATCTCAGAAAACCATGCAGCATTACAACAAAGTAAGCCTGGAGAGCAAGGTCTTTTTACATTTTTCAGCCAGGAAGATAAAACCAAGAGTCTTTTAGCCAAGTCACATTGTGAATTCTAAGTTGAAATAGGCTCCCATTCTCCTTACGGCTTACTTGGTGTGCGAAATGACTTTTTCACATGTCACTCCCCAGATTTGAAGCATATCATTGGCCAATTCAGTTTTTGTCATTCAGGACACTAATTTTCAGAGTTATCTTACTTCATCTGTTAGTCCTACAGTTCTTTTACTAAGCTATGGCACATTACAACATACCTAGATGGACAACTTCAATAGCTAAGTCAGTACCCCATATATTCACTGCTCTAAACAGAATCCCTCTAAACAGATTCCCCCTCTAAACAGATTCTAAACAGAATCTGTTTAGAAGGATCTAAACAGATCCTTTGCATCAATTCCATGAATCATTAGTTGTCATAGGGCATTATCTGTTCAAGTTTTCACACGCAGATATGTAACACAAGACAGACAACCAAGATCATGGTTGGCATAAGCTAGTTCCAGCCACACACAAATCCCCAAAGAACACCTAAACCCCCAACCTATTCTGTGATGAACTCACACAGTATTTCACTGGTCCTAAGGCATCCCCTCACTGATTTGAAAGTGTCACTATTTAATCCACGGCTTACAAACAAATATCTGTCCAGAAAAAACAACAACAAAAAAAAGCTGAAAAATTCAGACATAGGGCCAGTCCAGAACATCAGAAACCATCTCATTTAAGTAATTTAGGATTCATCTATCTGAATTTTCCTGCAGCTAAGCGAAACTTTTTGGCCAGATCACTGGCTGCCCTTTCACTTGAAAGCATCTGTCTACGAAATGACAAGGTCACATTGCTCAGCTCTAAAGATAAACATCCCCACGGAGCACAAGCAGATAAGTATTATTAGAATCAAATTGTTAATCAAGCATTCTTGCAAATCCATTTTTTCATGATCACATAAACTCACTATACTCAACATAACCAGCCAGAAGATAATTTCTGAGATGATTTTCCTTGACATTCCCAGGCAGTGCCAGCTGCAGATGACAGCTCCCTACTTTGACAGCTAAACTACAGAGGGGATTTTCTGCATCCTGATCACTTCTAGTCAGCACAGGAAGACGTGGTTATCTGCACCAGCATTGCTACATTAGGGAAAAAAAAGTTTTCTTCCACTGCCCCTGAACTTCCACTGCTTTATGAGACTTAAATAATGGCTCATGCCAAGACCTAATTCAATAACAGAAAATTAAAACTACAGACTACTTACAATGTAGCCGCAAATAGAAACTGTTTATCATTTAGCTACATATAATTTCGAGGTAACAGAACATCTGCTGATTAATCTGTGAAGATACTTCATAGCCTCCATATTTCCCCCAAATCTTTAAGGCGTGGGTTAACAACCTAAAAAAAACTGAAAGACATCAGACCATCTGTAGGATAATACATTTGTAAGACATACAGGGAAGAGAAGTGCACACTACTTTTCTCCTTGTAAATCCTAGAGCATAGACGATCTCAAAGCATTCCAGCATTTTTAGTAATACACAGATGGCTCTGTACCTCAGAACAGACTATTCAATAACCACTGCCCAATTTATACAATCCATGGATTTAGTCTCATAGAGTTAAGGCTTACCTTATCAAGTGATTCATTTCATCAAATTCAAGATATCTACTCACGTGAGTAAGATTTGCTGCCGTGAATAGGTGTTTAATGATAGGTGTCTCTTAAGATATTAGGAACATTAATTATAGAGGAACAATCAGTAGAAAAAGATTACCAAGTAGAATTAGCAACACTTGCTTAAAGCCAGTGAGGACATCTTTCATATTATTTACAGAAGTGTCTGCATTTGAATCAATTCACTGATGATGTCCATTATTTTTCATTACCTTGCTAAATGAGAATTTAATTGAACTACCGCATATAGTTATTTTACGAAATTACGAATGAAAACAGCATGTACCAGAATTTATGCTCATTTTCAATAAAAAAGTCGCTGTCAGAAACCTACTGGGCATCTCAATGAGGAGCCACAGACACTAACTTTTTAGGCTCATATTTGAAGCAGAACCCATAGAAAGAAATAGACCCCCATAAAAGAGGAAAAGCCATCCAAAGCTTTCAGGGAAGAAAGAAGTGCGATGCTCTGGCCCGCCCGGGGATCGCCCAGGAGCTGCTCGCCCCCGGCCGCTTCTGCACGCACGTGGAGCCACGGCTGGCACCGAGCGATGCCCACGGGCAACGCCAGTCACGGAAAAAGCCGCTTCTCGCCCTTTTCTCTCTGGGGCAGGGGTAGGGAGGAGGAAGGCTGTTACCCAGCAGGAGGAAAGAGAAGATCCACTGCAGAACGGCGACTGTCTGAATCCTCCTCTTTAAGGGGACATTGATGGGGGCAAACTCGACCTTCATGCTGACGGAGAGCAGCGCGGGAGGCACGGATCTGCCGGCTCGGGCTCCAGCCGCAGCCCCAGCCGCCGCACCTGCCCGCTGCGCGCCGCTCTGCGCGGCCCCGGCCGGGCAGGACGCGCCCCTCCCGCCGCCGGCGCTGCCCACGGCCGCGGCTCCGGCAGGCGGGGACGGGGAGGCGGCGCCGCCCGCCCCGGCCGCGGGAAACCCGATCCTGGAGCGGGCAGAGCCCGGCACACTGCGGGGGCTGGCGGCTGCTACAGCCCCTCCGCCCACAGGCGGCCGGCGCGGCTCCCCCCGCCCGGAGCGCCGCTCCCGCTCCGCATGAGCGCAGCGGGCGGAGGCGCCGCGGCTCCGCCGGAGCGAGCCCCGCGCCCGCGGACCCAGCTCCGCCCGCACACCCCGCACCGCGCTGCCCTGCCGGGCCGGCCGCGCTTTGCCCTCGGAGCGCCCGGCACGCCGGGGCGTGCTTAAGGCTCTTACCATTAAAGAGCTTATGGAGCTGACCCAGAACTTAGAGTTCCTGCAGCGTTTGGCGTCGAGTGTTTCGGGTTTAATTACACCAGCACACGCACAGCCTCCTCCCGCCCGCGGTGTCCGTGGCAGGCATCGTCAAAAGAAAACTTTGCCGCGCAAAAGAAACCACCCCCCGAAACTTGCACAGCGTTGGCCCCCATTCTCCACGGGGCCGGCGGCAGCGCCGGGATTCGCCATCCCCCGCGGGGACGGGATAACGCTGGGTGCCCACGCGGGACGGGGACAGCGGCACCGGGGACTCGCGCTCCCACACGGGCCGCCCGTCCCGCCCATCGCCGTGGCTGATGTCACCGCCGCGGCTGCCCGCCGCGCTGCCGGGGCTCGGCGCGCCGCCGCCCGCTCCCCCAGGCGCAGGACGGGCTCGGGGCAGCCCCAGGGGCGCTCGCTCGGGCGCGGCGTCGCGGCCGCGGGGGGCGCGGGGGGCGGCGGGCGCGGGCGGAGCCCTGCGGCCGCTCCGGCAGCGCGGGGAGCGCGGCGGGGCCTGCGGAGCGCGGCGCAGGCGCAGCCGGGCCCGGCCGCCATGCCGACCGTCAGCGTGAAGCGGGAGCTGCTGTTCCAGGCGCTGGGCAGGAGCTACAGTGAGTGCCCGCCGTGCCCGGGACGTGCCCGCCCGGCGCCGCGCTCGCCGGGTGCCATCGCCGCGGCCCCTCCGCCGCTGCCCGCCCCGGCCGGGGCGAAGCCCTGAGCTCCCACGGTGCTCCCGGCCGCGCCCTGCGTGTCCCGGGGCTGCAGCGGGGCTCTCGGGAGAGCTCGGGCCTCAGAGCTGCCCTGCCGCCCGCGCACAGCCGTGTGTTATCCCGGCCCCTTCAGCGCATTGCCCCGACACGCACTGCTGGAGCCCAGGTCTCTCGGGAAAGTGCAGCCACGCGTCCCGCCGGGTTCTGGCTGCAGTGTCACTGTCTGATTTAGGATCTGGTTAAACCAAGGAGAGAGAAGAGGGGGGAGCAGGCAAAGCGAGCGGTGAATAGTGTGGGTTTATTCAGTGCTTTCTTCCCGGCTCAGGAAGCAGATTTCAGAAGTGCCCGGCTGAAGGAGCATTAAGGACATGAAGTGGTTTAGTCCAGACGGCTCTTCAGACAGCCCGGTGCAGATCTGCGCTGTCAGAACAGGGCTGTGTTACTCGAGTGTTACAACGCAGCTGATGCAACCTCTGTAGAAGAGCCTGTCTGATCAGAATAGGAGCACTTGGCAGAAGCTGCCCAGTTATTCCCTTCTGATTTAATGATCTGTTTAAGCCAGAGTTGCTCTGACAGACCTGGCTGAGGAGCTGAGCTCCAAAGATCAGAAGCTCTCCCGTGTGTCTGTCAGAATACCACATCAATAAATATATACTAAAGAAGCTGCCACTCGGATACAAATATAAGAAAAAATCTTTAAATTACTTTTACCCTATTCTTTTTTTTTTTCCAAAATAGCATTTCTTATTGTGTTTGAAAACATTCTAAACACACACACAAAAATTAGGTCTGAGGCCTGCTTATAACCAAAATTCACCCTCTTGCTTCACAGCGGATGAAGAATTTGATGAGCTTTGCTTTGAGTTTGGTTTGGAGCTTGATGAAATTGTAAGTAATGCCTTTATTTGTTGCTTTTTGAGTAGGTGTAGCATACTGATTTTTGGTAAGAGTTCGTGTGGCATTATTTCCAGCATATCCCCTGTTACAATGTTTTAATGGACTGTATTAACACAGATGTTTTGAATCTGGGGAAAAAACCCTCAGACTTAGAAAAGTTACTGCTTCGGAAGCAAAAGACTCCAAGATGGCATATTGCAATACTTCCTGGAGGTCAGCACTCTGTGCCTCTTGATCTTCAGTCTCAGGCACCATTTTATTTAGCAGCATAAATATGGCCACAGAACATATATTGATCATATTTTACAAGATCTGTTTGGTTTTGTTTGCTATGCAGTCATCTGTGCAATATCCACAAAAAATATATTTGTCCTGGACATAGTTATTTGAGTTGTAACTAATGTATACTTAATGTTTTAATTTAGATTCTGTACTTCGGGAGATTTGCTAGCCCTGATAACTCTGTCTGTGCAAATCTTGTTCAAGTAGACATATTTTGGTTTTGCCATTTAATTTTAATTTATTGGCTTTTTAATGACGTTTATCAAAAGACATCTGAACATCATATGTTATGCTTTATCTCAGAATAAATTTGATTATGACAAGTCATTTGCCAATCTATTGCCAAATATAAGGCCTCAAATCTCTACTGGGATCTAACATCCTGAAGGTTCTTGCTTCTATAATCTATAATATTTTTTCTTACAATTAAAATTTTAATACAGAATTTTTCTTTTGGCACACCACCTTACAGTTTCTGAATTTAAGGTTTTATGTAATTTCTTGTATTTGGTGTGTCCATTTGCTGTATAAATGCAAATTACAGTGTTAAACTTCTAATTAATACAGTTTATCCTCTTATATCACTATCATACTGTTGTCAATGTTAAGATATATCAGGTTAAAACCACATTTTTGCTTAATTTTAGACATCTGAGAAGGATATTATAAGTAAAGAAAAGGGTGAAGAAAAGGCCAAGGGCGCATCTGATGTGGTTCTCTATAAAATTGATGTTCCTGCCAACCGCTATGATCTGCTTTGCCTGGAAGGGTTGGTCCGAGGACTGCAGGTCTTTAAGGAAAGGTAAGCCAGAGTTGTGAGATTTCTGTGGTGTTTGTTGAAATATGGGTCCATTTCTGCTCAGTAAACAGAACTTCCTACTTGCTTGCATTTGGAGTATGATTACATATGTAGATGAGATTCATCAGATGTTCCTCTGGAGAGGATCTTTGCATAACTTAAAAAGATTAGACCAGAATGTTATTGGGTTTTGTATCTGTTCTAAAATGTTCTCAATTGCTGTTCCATTTGAGACTTATCCTCTGTAAGGAACTCCTGCAGAGAAACTTCTTTGCGATCCTTTGTAAGAAATACCAGAACAAATAATTTATTTCCCTTTTCTGCAATGTCTTTATCTTGCTGAGTTCTTCCTTTCTAGTTCAGTAATCTGGTGACCATCCCATGAAAAAGAAGTTCTGCACAGTTAGCTAATTACATGCCAAGAAACATTACTAAGAAAGTTTTCTACATATAATTCCTGCTACATTTCTAGAGTTTGCTGCATTTCAGCTACAGACTTACTCCTGTTTTTGTTCTAGGATAAATCTCCCTAGGTTTGAGAAGATAATACCAGCTGAGGGTGAAGGTCAGAGGCTGATTATCACTGAACAGGTAAAAGTGTTTACTGCACCTCTGTAAATGCATTGAGAGTTGCTGAAGCAGAAAGATCCATATCAGTATGATTTTGTAAGAACAGTGAGACTGGAAATCTTATTTGCAGAACAAGAGCTAAAGACATTTAAATATCTCTACTAGGTGTGATCTATTCTTAGGAATGAGGAGGGGGAGGAACAATAGGCAAATTGTTTTGGGTGAACCTAGTAGCAGGTCAAATCAAAGTTTCAGATGCAGCTCAGAGCAAATCTCTTGAAATCTGCGTGCTGCTGTTGTAAATTGCAGACTGCCCAGATCCGGCCTCACGCTGTAGCTGCCGTCCTCCGGAATATAACTTTTACCAAGGACCGGTATGACAGTTTCATCGACCTCCAAGAGAAACTGCACCAAAATATTTGCAGGTTAGTTCTTAAATTTAAAGTAATGTATAGTGTCTGTGTGTATGATTTTATCACATGTTAAAACTGCACATCCCTATTGCAGAGAGGTGTTAGGTTATGCCAGGGAAAATCTGTAGGAGCTCTCTTGATCATTCTCATTTCCTTGCCAGTTCTTGTCTGCTGCTAATATTGTTCAACATAAATAGCTGTTAAAGTTCATTCAACAGTTGAGGCAGAAGTGTTTAGCAACATTCCCGCTGGATTTGCCTTGACAGTTGTGTTGCTATTCATAATAATATTTATTAAATTGTTATTCATCAAATAATTTCTAGGCTTCTCAAAATTATCTTTCTGCTTTTTCAGTAAGCTCTGTGAATGCATAGAAGTATAGAGTATCATACTCTAAGAAACTCCAAGTATTATTAGTAAAAACATTATTTTGCCTTCTTTATTTCTAGGAAAAGAGCATTAGTAGCAATAGGTACCCATGACTTGGACACCATCACTGGTCCATTTACTTATACAGCCAAAGCACCTTCTGAAATTAAATTTAAGCCCTTGAGTCAGTCCCAGGAGTACACGGCCTCACAAATTATGGATCTGTATAGGGTAAGTGGAATTTTTCAGACTCATTGCACTAAACGAGGGAGATAAATTTCCAAGGTTAAATATCTCTCATATCCTTGTTATTAGAAGTTGTTCTTACGAATAAAACACAGCTGTCTTCTGTAGCCTAACAGCCATTGAACATTCCATATTTTGCTTATCGTGTTGTAAACATATACTGGCCCTGGAGATAAATGCTTAAGTGTCTCTGACTAAAGAGTAAGAGAGTTCAGAGAAGGAAATTAGGTTTTTGGTACAACACATAATTGTGTCATTACAGCAAATGTAAATTTTGAATCAAATTTAGGTATGTGTCAGTATCCAGCAATTTA